GCTACTAAGTATACAGGTACCGTGTGCTACTGCTACTGCTGCTACTACGTATATAACGTACGTGTGGCTAACTGTGCTGGCTACTACTACTAAGATGACACGTACGTGTGGCTACTCGCTGCTGCTACTGACGTATACAGGTTAGCGTGGTGCTACATGCTACCTGCGCTGCTACTAACGTAATGAAACGTACGCCAACTCGTTTTCGGATTACCCCCCCACGTCCCGAATATCGTGACCGTACGTCGAGCGGTTAAGATTTGTGCCCAACTGTTGACGGACGGACGGACGGACGCACGGACGATCATGCGATTCTACAAGCTGCATCTGACTATGTCAGATGAGCTAAAAATGGCATAAACTTTTCAGAAAACGTTCACAGGCGAAGTGCCGTTCAAGGTTATGACATTTTTCACTCGGGATAGCCATAACTATGTACGATGTCTATGACAGTGTAATAACTATTTATGGTGGTTTCTGACACCGGGTCTCTGGTTGTGGGCGCAGTCAAGGCCGAGCCCGACTGGTAGATGGCGCCACTACATAACGTATCATGGCTGAGCACAATACTCGTATCTTCCTGGCCTAACCCAGCAGACCGGCCGTCGTGGGTATCCACCCAAAAGTCCGAAAACATTTTGTTATCCGCGTGACTTGTCATGTTTTTCCCCTTCAATACTGAGAAGTTTAAACGAGTAATTTTATCAAACAACAAGGTTCACTAGATTATAAAAACATTTATTATATAGTACAAAAGTATATACCGGTACACATATTATATACGAAATAGTGCAATTATTCAATTCAAACATTTTGTAGATGCTTGATATAACAAGAACTCTAGGAATCAAACGTTTTAAAAAAAGTACAAATACAACGCGTTACGAAAATAACGCTATAATAACATGCTAAGCCAGAAATGTTCAGTTGTTCCCATAAACCACACGCACACCACAACTGGGACTTGCGTGATTTTAATAATTTTGTTCTTTTAATCGTCATCTTACGTCATTCTTTTACAATCTTTGTAACCTTCACACGTTATTCCCTTTTCAGCTGTTTAGAAGCGTTCGCATTACAGATCATCGTATCACATTAATAATGAGTAGCTACAATACAACCGCGTGCAATCAATGATAATACAAATCAACCTGAGGTTACTCGCGTTTTCACATGGCTGTCGGTTGGAGAGGCGGACCGACGCGTCCGTGGTACGTTAGCGTACCTTAACGTCGCGCCAACGAACGAGCGGGAATTGTGGGGCTCATCACATGTAGGCGGCCCAACCCACGTACATCTGTGCCAGATTCCTCTCATCCGTCGACTCCTAAAATTACGCAAACGGGACAAAATAAAAAAAGTGTTATTACACCAACGACGAACCGCGAATGTATTCGCCCTCGTCTTCCTCTCTCTGTCCGTCTGGCGATTGCGATCGAGGATCAACGATAAACAGCACGGAATCGTCGGCTAATGAACAATGAGTTATTATGCGTGCTGGGATACGCATGTTACCATCTCGTCGCCGCATTTAGTATCAGTGAACACAGGACAAGTATCAGAACACAACAAACGTAACATGAAGAACATAACAAAGAACGTGTGAAACATACATAACATAACATAAAGAACGTACAGAACAGTACATAAACTATTGATCATACATACGGGAACATAACATAAAGAACAAACAGAACATAACGTAAAGAACATAACAAACATAACATATTGATCATACAGAACATAACAAACATAACATGAAGAACATACGGAACATAACATAAAGAATATAGAAGGAACGTACGGAACATAACATAAAGAATATAGAGAACACGTAAGCGAACGTAGCGTAACCTAGAAAGGTCGCGTACCTGGATGAGATAGTTGACCTGACCCTCGACGGACAGCGGTAGACCGTAGGGCTTGTTACGAATGGTCTTGATGACTCCCTGCAGACGCTTCTCAATGTCATTGATCTGAGTCAGAGCCTAGAGCCGCGCGAAGAAGTGTAAGCAAACATTCCAGATCATCGTCGTTGTACACACACACACGCACGCATATACACACGCATGCACGCACGCACGAACACACACATATATATATATAGTGTGTGTGTGGGGGGGGGGGGTTATTTAGGAGTAAGTTGCACTTGTACTTGCACTGTGGGGATAAGGGGGTGGGGATGAGACGACAAGGGGTAAGCGAAGGGAGAGCGATTGAGATGGAGATGAAATGATATGGGGATGGTGAGGAGGGGATGGAGATGGGGAGGCAGTGTAGAGGAACTTGGCGTGATGGGGTTGAAATAAATGGGGTGGGAGTGGAAAAGAGGGGCGACTAACAGGGGGAGAGGAATGGGATAGCAACACCAGGGTGGCGAGTGGGATATGAATCAAGGAGAGTGGTATGGGGTTAGGATTAAGGTAAGGGTTAAGGTTAGGGTTAGGGTTAGGGCTAGAGTTAGAGTTAAGGATAGGTTATGGTTAGGGAATTAGGGAAGTAGGGTTAGGGTAAGGGTTAGTGTTGGGGAATTAGGGTTAGGGTTAGTGCAAGGACAATGGTTAGGGTTAGAGTTAGAATTAAGGATAGGTTATGGTTAGGGTATTAGGGTTAGGGTTAGGGTAAGGGTTAGTGTTGGGGAATTAGGGTTAGGGTTAGTGCAAGGACAATGGTTAGGGTTAGAGTTAGGATTAGAGTTAGTGTTAGGGTTAGGGTTAGGGTTATGGTTAGGATTACTGTTAGGGTTAGAGTTGGTTAGCGTAAGGGTAAGGGTTACAGTCAGGGTCAGAGCCAGGATCGGGAACAGTACGCACCAGCGCGTTTTGGATCTCTCCCGTCTCCGTCGAGCTGTTCTTGTGTTTGCGCGCGGGCTTGGTCCACTCGACGAGCGGGTCGTAGATGAACGTTCGCAGCACGCTCAGTAGCGTGTCCGTCTGCTCCCGCATGACCTTCATCGTGCCCTCGCACGACTTACGGAAGATTCCCTCGTAGCCCGTCGGGCCCTGGCGGTCGACGGAGAAAAAACACCAATCAGCGGTCAGATGCTGCAGAAGACGAGAACGCGACGCGATCGCAAAAAATATAAATTTTTGAGTTATTCTGTCTGGCTAGTGATCCCCGTTATTACGGACGGAAAGACCGCTGTTATTGTCAGACTGCATAGTGTTTTTTTACTGGACGCATGCACGCACCACATACACACACACTCANGAGAGAAAATGAGCTCACCTCGTAGCTACTGCAAGCCGTTTCCCTCGCGTAAAAAGGTTAGTTCCCGTGAGTAACACAAAGAACCAGACGGCTGCATACAATCACTATACAATGCCTAGCTCCAAGCAACGGTCCCACATCGAAGAAAGACCGTTCGAGAGCCGTCGTTGTGTACTGACGTCAGTCTCGTAGCTGTACAACACACTTATACATGTACATGTACATACACACATATAGATATACATAATACATATACATATTATGATATTATACAGGTCGGGCTACACAATGCCACACTTATTAACAATGTTCCTCTATTACCTAATGACTCCGGCCTCTTTGAGTCGAAGGAGTTTGTGACCTTGAGAACGTAGCCATCGGTGCACACATGGTCGATATTTGGATTATTGTTGTTCTCCTCTTCCATTAGCACGAAGAAATTCCTATCGTCGTAGCTGTTCAGCTCCTGCAGAATTTTTTGAGAGGGGAATTTTTTTCACCGAATTTCTTTTTAGTGAAATCGGCGGCACGTCCGCGTGGAGTGGAAACATTTGGCGTAATAGCGCGATCAACCTCCTAGCGGCGGGAGGAACTTGGAGGCGAATGTCACGCGCGCGCGCACACGCCCGCACATGCACACACACACACGCACATACACACGCACGCACACACACACGCACATACACACGCACTCTCACACACACACTCACGCACGCGCGCACACACATACACACACACACGCACATACACACGCACGCACACACACACACTCACGCACGCGCGCACACACATACACACACACACGCACATACACACGCACGCACACACACACACTCACGCACGCGCGC